AAACTTTGTGTGCTTCGCTCATAAGCCCGCACCTACGCCCGAGCACCCGATATGCAGATTACACGGTAACCTGAGAATTATTTTATTAATAATGTTACGCAACCCGTTTTAATTATTTTTTTAGTGAACCTGCATTAATCTTCCATGGTGTTGTTATTTTATAATAAATTAGTATTTTTTTTAATTGATTGCGCTTAGTTTATCTTTAAGCATACAGTAGGCGGTGGTTAGGTTTTAATTGATTATTGTCGAGAGTGTTTTATTAGGTGTGAAAACAAAGAACATAAGCATAGTTAAGAATCTTATTATTTTGTTATGTAAATAAGGTTTGCTTACTTTAAATACCAAAAGTTCTCGCCCATAATTAAACCATATCTTATTTCTGTTTTAAATAAACTATGTTTAACCATTTTCTTCGATTTTAATAGTCATACATGAATTGGTGAAGTACTTTTGTAGTTTTCTGCGAAAAATTAAACCAAGTTTTTTACAGATTTCATTTAAAACCAACATCAGGGTGATTCTCACGGAATGTATCCCGTGATATTTAATAAAACTAAATGAGTTTGACCTACACTTTTATTGTGTTTTAATCTTTCATAATTAAGTAGATATTACAGCTCAGGTTCCAGATTTTTAACCGCAATTCAATATATTTTACAATGTTTTAAAAGTCTAAAACCTATCCTCCGTGACTGTTACTCTTTCTAGGTTAACCTGTATGTTTTCAAATATCTGAGGTAGTAAAAGCATTACGGCCATTCCAAGCCCATGGACAGGACACATCAGAAACATGTCTAAATATATTCTTGTTACTTCCTTAAGTTTACTTATTTTTTCTACGAGTATTTATGAGAAGTATTAGCCAAATTTGGCTAATACTTCTCATAAATACTCGTAGAAAAAATAAGTAAACTTAAGGAAGTAATAAGAATATATTTAGACATGTTTTTGATGTGTCCTGTCCATGGGCTTGGAATGGCCGATTATTAAAAATTAAAAGAAATAATTTTTATAACCATTTATGTAGGTGTTAAAAAAATTGATTCTATCCTCCGTGAATCTGTTTTTGCTTTAAATTGTATGCAACGGATGGCGCTTTAATCATTTTAAATAAGCAAAAACCTCTGTTTACGACATTATAGATGCATGTGATTCCTGAAGGTCAGTTAGAGTTTATAAGCAGATGAGAGTGTTGCTGTTTTATAATTCAAAAGTTTAAGTTCATTAATTTGCTTTTTAAAAACCTATCCACCGTGAAGTGTAATGTCTCAGTAAGTAGATTTTTTTTATAAATATTAAGGTGTCAAAAGATACAATAACTTATTTCAAATGTACAAAGGGATGTTTAAAAAAACATACTAAATCCTAACCTCCGTGAAGCTCTAATATTCAAAATGTATGATTTCTTAAAATTCTTGCATTAGTGCAGAACTACTTATGTTATGTTATTACTAGACCTGGTGTCTCTATTTTTTGAGATAAACGGAATGAAATGGGTCCATTAAATTTACCACTGATAAATCATAAAGCATACAAACACTATGCTTCTTCTTGGTTATAGCCTTCTGGGAATGGTTAAAAACTTGTTGATAATTTTTGATGCTTGGTCAACATGATTAAGGTAAATCCTTGAAGTCAAAATTTTCTAAATGCGCAATTCATAATTGTTTATGTTTTTTTTAATCAGAAATACAAATAATGTATAATTAATACAAAATCTTAACGCCTTGTCCCTCATTTTTATTAATAGATTTTAATGTGGATTTAATTAAATTAACCTACCAATAATAATTGACACTAATCAAGAAGATACTAAAAATCTTTCATGATTTTTAACTGTGTGTGTAATGTTTGTACTTTTAATTATTAATTAATACTGTCTACTAAATAAGATGACGCCGTTTCTATTTGTTCATTATTGTGACACTCATATTTTTAATTAAACGATTTTCTCAATTAACACCTATTAGCCGAACGCAATTTTTATTAACGTTAAATAAATTTGAATGGTAAAAATAGAAATGACCAAAACATTGTATTTGTCCTCCAAGATCCATTTTTCTCTAAAAATTAATTAGTCAAAAATGACTAATTACTATAGTTATTAGTGGCTGCGTTTTCACTTGTACTATGGTTAACCATGGGATACCATGGTATCCCAAAATTTAACAGCCAATTCTTATGTAAAATTATCCCCTGAATCCGAAAATACCATTAAAAATTATAAAAGTATAGCAGCTTTTGAGATATAGTCAAATGAAAAATTAACTATATCTCAAAAACTGTTCTACTTTTTTAACTTTTGATGAAAATTTCGGATCAGGGGACAATTTTACATGGAAATTGACTGTTATTCGGGATTCAAATTGCTATTTTGGCTGCTTTTTCGCTATGCTTTTTCGCTATGACAATTAGTCATTTTTGACTAATTCATTTTTAGAGAATACCTAGTGGCCAAAACATAAGCGAAACTTTAGTACTCTTTACTTTCTATACTCGTCTCTTTCCAGCACATTATTTATCCTATTATCTTTGCTTTCTCTAAAACTGGACATTAACACGAATAAAATTTTCATGGGTGTCATATATGAGCTATAGTTCGAAATATAAGCACGCCCTGTTAAAATATGTGGTAATGAAAAAAAAACTAAGAAAACTAATATTTCTGGTCTCCTAAAACCAATTAACGTGTTAAATTTGGTGCGATACTAACCAGAATTATTTGTTTAAAACTACACATTTATTTTTCTACAACCAATCGAAAAGTACAAATTTGCGCTTCCAAAAGAAAGCGCAAAGTTGCACTTTTCCTATAGGAACAAGTATTTTTTTACTTTGTCGCTCGCCGAGCTACAAAGTTACTTTGTCGCTCGCTTAGTTACCATGGAAACCGTAATAAAGAAACGTTTAGTGTATTTGCGACTTTTGACACAAACGTTAAATTTAAGGATATCAATAATTATTAATTTTTACCAAACATCCTTATAGAAACAACGGTTGTAGAAAAAATCATGAAATTCGAGAGCAAAGTGACATTGCCGCTCTCGCGAGATAGCCGCGCGCCGCGAGTCAAACTTCTCGCTCAGAGCGGCAATGTCTGGTTTTAAAGAAGGGAACTCTAAAGTGGTAATCCTACCCGAAACGTGGAAACCACCTAAATATGTAGCAAGAACGTGGCAATGACCACCGCAATTATAAAATCATCATCAGTCATCATTTTTGACTATTTCTGAGTAAAAGTAATCAATTTCCGAGCTAATTTCTTTAATCGTTTGCAGCCAACAACAAAATATAATTTGAATTAAATGCATGTAGCCTCCATGGTTAAATGGCCCATAAAAACAAACAAAGATGAAAAAGTTTTAGCTCAAAACAGCAACACAAATATTATATTCAACTTTAAAATATTAGGAACAATATTTATTGACAAATAAAATTGATTTTTATAAAAGAGACTGATAGCCTCATTGGTTATGACAACAACTTGACAATTGACAGACCTGAGTTCAATCCCCGGCTGGGTTAAAACTTTTTTTAAATTTAAATCTACTAATTTGACTATTTTATTCAGTAGAATTTGACTAATTATTAGTGACTACCTTTTCGCTATGACATTTAGTCAAATATTACTTATAATTAGTTATAGAAAAGTTCCGAAAACGTTGGCAAAACTGGTATACTTTACACTTCAAAGTAATACTTAACTTAAGTGATGTGGTTTGGTTGCCATTACTATTTATAATCCACTTTAAAGTTTAGACAACTTTAAGGTGCTGTAAAAAGTGGTCATAACATTTTAGATACCACCAAAAAGTTTATTCTGCTGGTGCAAATTACATGTGCTAATATAATATAAAGTTATTTCAACTGTATCGTGGTGGATTTGGTTATTTTTACGTAATTGCCACTCATTTGAAGTTGCGATATCAGTTTTCGTCACTTTAATGCTACTTGGAAGAGCTAATGTTGGTTGCATCAACCCATTCGGCGCCTTCATTAATTATTGGTGTACGCTCATGATTCTTTCTCACCCTTTTGTTTATTTTTGTTGATAAGATTTGTGTGACGATGTTTAGGCTAAACAAAAAGTCCCAAGCATGTGGAGAATGTCATTTTCCTCGTATTGGGTGTTTATGATTAAGTCTAACACTAATACGATACGTTTATTTTAGTTAATATAATTTATGTGAATTTGTCTAGACAAATTAGTTATAGTTCTTTAAAATGTAGAAAATATGTTAGGAGGGGTAAATGTTTTTTTAAGGGAAACCGCTTGGCGATAAGCTTAGCGAACGAAACGAGCCCAGAGACATTTTGAGTTCGCTTGAGACAAGTCGAATCTCTGAATTGATTTTTGATTGACTATTGTTGGTCTAGCGGGTTGCGGATCGTTGGTTTCCTTTTTATAGCTAATAATTATAATTATAGTTTGGGACGATTAATATTAATTTTGTGTTCTGTGCGGATTTATACGACTACGTGTTTTATTAAATAACTTTATATTAAAAACCAGTGTCGTGCATTCTTTTAAAATGTCTAGGCAGCCCAACCCTCAGTCGCCCTCGTTAATCTCTGACATACTTAACTTAAGTGATGTGGTTTGGTTGCCATTATTATTTATAATCCACTTTAAAGTTTAGACAACTTTAAGGTGCTTTAAAAAGTGGTCATAACATTTTAGATACCACCAAAAAGTTATAATACTATGAAGTATATTCTGCTGGTATATTACAACTATGCTAATATAATATAAAGATATTCAACCCATTCTTCACCCATGATGAATTTTTTGAATCTAAGAAGAGGAAACACGCCTCTATAGGGAAACCTATTAATATATATATTAATAGGTTTCCCTATAGAGGCGTGTATACAAATATTTTAAGTGCAATATTTATATAACAATATCATAATAATATAATCAGGTACAAAATAGGTATCAGCAAGGACTATTGAAAGATAAGATTTATAAGATAAATAAAATTCAACTGTTTTATTTTTTTATTATTTCATTTAATTGTTTAAAATTTAAACTTGTTTCACTACAGAATCAATAAATTCTTTTAAAACTGGGACACTGGAGTACACCCCTGGATAATTTGGGGCCGCACAATATTCATATCCAAATGACACTATTCCTGTAAGTTTACCATCAACAATTAAGGGACCTAAAAATTAATTTTGTTGAAAAATAAATATTTTGTAATTTTTAACCAAGTATTTTCTAGGTTATACAGGGTTTCCAATATGTAAATAATTACCTCCAGAATCACCAAAACAAGCATCCTTTCCTCCTTCAGCATATCCGGCACAGATCATCCTTTCACTGACATGTTTACTGGTATTTCCATAAGCCTCTTTACAAACCCTGGAATCAGCAACTGGTATTTGTACCATCTGTAAATCATGGGACGGCTTATATTTATCCTCCATACTCACACTACCCCATCCTGTTATGGTTCCAATTGATCCAGTCTTTACTTCTGCATCTGCATCGGCCATTTCTATAGGGAGGGCATTTTCAATTGTTATGTCTTCTGATAGCTCTAAAACAGAGACATCATAATCCAAAGTTGTTCTATTGAATTTTGGATGTTCGGTTATTTTTTTTACTGGGACGACTTGACCTCCAGTGAAGTAGATTGAGGAACCAGCCCTAACAGCGAATTTTATCAAACGGTTTCTAAAAGATATCAATTTATTTTCATATAAGGGATGTTATGATGTAAAAGCATACCCATAGGTGCAGTGGGCAGCAGTTATAACCCATTTTTTACCAATCAAAGTACCACCACAGAGGTGCATTTGTTAGTATTGTACTGATACATGGTATGGATAGTCCTTAATGTTGACTGTTTCGCCCCCTATGATTCTACCATCCGGTATAATCGATGGTATTTTTGGAAAACCTGAAAATCTTTTTATAATGGGTATAAGGTTATTTAAAGGATACTTACCATTGGATGATGCAAAAACTGCCACAAGCACAAATATGATCTTCAGTTTAAAATATTATTGATGAAAGTGAATTAAATGCAAACACTTCAAAAATTAAATTTTTAAGTATCAAAAGCAGATAACATTATCAGTATAAAGTTCAGATACAGATATGCTGACTATATTAATTTTTGAATTAAATAATTAGTAATAAAGGTCTTGATGCAACTTAACATGGTGTTAATGCAGTAACTTTAGCTCAAAATTTGATGTATTAGTGGTGGTAACACCATTTTAAGGAAAAATTGAGTCCAAGTCATATCTTCGTCATACCATAATGAAAGGCAAACTAAAACTTCTTCTTTGGTGACTATGTTAAGATGTCCAACAAATTGTTGGCAACAATAAAGTTGTATCAAGACTTTAATTTTCATCAAAACTCTCAATGAGGCCACAGTGCTGCTCTGAATGGTCATTAGCAGATTTTCTTTGAAACCATGTTTTTATATAATCAATAAAGTTATGATGTTACTATGAATATAGTTTATCTGTACAAATTTTGTAATATATTTTAAACTAACTTGTCGATGAGCTAGACACTTGAAACTTTAAACATGGCTCGGAACTGGATGACAATAAAACCTAATTTACTCCATATTGTAATTTATGAGTATTGGACCTATCTACACTACTTACCAATATAAAGTGACCAGATTCTGTCAAAAAATAGCGGGAAATTTTGTGTAAAAATAACCTTAATTACAAATATGACACAATCAACAATAATTAAGTAACGTCAAATTTACAATTTGCATTGTATAATTGTGTCAATTTTGCTATATCCCCCTATTTTTTGACATAATCTGGTCACTTTATACTAATATCAACACTTTGGCAGGTTGACAGATGGCAGGTGTCAAGTTGGTACTTGACAGGTGACAGATGAAAGGTGTCAAGTTGGCACTTGACAGGTGACAGATGACAGGTGAGAGATGACACTCCTTAAATTTTAAATTTTTTGTATACTTTTTAGTGCGTTATAGTATATTATGTATCAAGTTTGATAAACGCCATTTTATACACTTTATTTTAACGATTGTATGACATTTGACAACTGTCAACTAACTTAAAACTAACTTCAGCCCGTGACTAAAAACCTGTTGCTAACTTCAGCACGTGACTAAAGCGCCGTAAAGCCACAACTTGTCAATGTGTATTTAAAAGGTCACTTAGTGTCATGGAAACATGTACGATAAGGGGTTTTAAAGGTGGGAGTAGAAAAAAACATTTTTATTATTTTTTAAACTATTAATTTATTATTATAAACATGCTATACAGTGTATAGTATACACAGTATTTCTATAATAATGACAAATTTTGAAAATGTTATTTACTAGTGTATTAAACCTACATAGGTTATTTTTTATTTTTTTATTTATTTTTTTATTTGTGTGTCCAATTTTTTTTTGCAAGTTGGTTGCATTATTTATAAATTTATAGTTTTATAAATAAGGTACTCTACAAATTAAAAAAAAAATTCCTTTCTTTTTCAATTTAATAAAAAATATTAATAAAAAGTACATATGAAATAATACGTAAAGTCCCTTAGCGTTTATTGATCGAACTTACCTTTAATTATTTATTAATTAAATAAAGTTGTAATCACAGGCTTGCTTTAGCAAAAGTCAGAAAACTTAACCTAAAAACCAAAACACTAACAGTGACAACCATACAATTAAATTTCCACAAAAATGTTTTTTTTTTATTTTTATTTAATTTTTAATTTTAGTATTTTAAAATCCTCAAATTGTTCATTAAAAACTTAGGTGCTGAAAATTTTACGCACCTAATTTGATCCTATTATGATATAAATATAGCATTTTGGAATACTTAAATTAAAAAATTTAAATAAAAATTGTAAAAAAACCGAAATCTGTTTTATTATATTTATAAAAATCTTATAGCTATGAACTTTCGTAGTGTGAATTGACCTTAACTGTATAGTTGTCACTGTTATTGTTAGTGATTAAGTTTTCTGATATTCTTTGATTCTGCTAAAACACGCCTGTAATTGGCTTCTCTATTTAACTAATAACTATATTTTACACTTTTTTTTAACACCCTGTATATTGTTTGTGTAGTGTCCATTTATTTTTATAATGTTGTGATTGAAATTTCGAGAATGACCCCTTAAAATTGAAAACATATTTTGTGACCAAATTTTCATTTACTTCCTTTTTCCTCTACTCTAACAGTTTTTAATGCGAAACCCTGAACTTGACCTCGATGGAAGTCGAATAGAAAAACTGAACTTTATCGCAGTGCACTATGGTTGCGTTTGATAGGCTGTTGACCATTGACGTGAAGGCAGCCTTCCATGACGAAGTATGCTATATATTTTCACATCGTTTATTATTATGATTGTCTCCATGTAATTCTTCTTTATAGTGCTGTGTATTATTTATTTATTTGCATGCCATTCGCGTTCGTTTACCCATGGATAAAAAAAAATAAATAAATAAAACGCAGTGCTTTAACCACTCAATTTAGTGACGGACGAAGCAATTAAAGTAAATACGAGGTTTTGGATTGTGGAGTATCATTTTCGAATTAAAATGTTTTAAAAATGTAAAATGGATATTTGCATATTAAAATCTCAATTATAATCATATTAGTATGGCCAGATGTCATATAATCTTGGTTGAGTTAAAGAAATTACCACCTTTAAGTATCCTAGGGCTAAAATGTACCTATTCGTTTAGTCAGATTCAAAATAAATTAACAAAACAAATAACAAAAAAAATATCGTAATCCACCATTAAAATTCTTGAAACAAAGTCTAAAAATAAAATTTAAATTAGTTTGTTTAAGGTATAAGGCACGTCTATGGTAATAAGTTTATTTTATTACCAAGCATACAATAATTCTTCATTTTAATTTATTTAAAAAAAAATGATGAGACAATATTCTGCGGTATATTGTGGTTAAGCCTTATTACTACCGGTTCTGGTAGGTTGAATACACTACTTAGTACTCGCAATAATAGTTCATACAGGGTGGTATCTATTTTTAACAGCATCCATTTTATAGTTTTTAATTGAACATTTTCAAGTTTATTTAAAACAATGAACCCGAAAAACTAATTATAATTTTAAAATGCAGAACAGCAAACAATTTATTATGATGTAATTCTAGAAGAAAATAATTAACAACTCAAATTTTTAAATTGGCAGGTGTTGTTAGTTTATGACTGCTAAAAATAATCATACCGGCGCACATTTTTTATGGTCCTCGAATTTAAAACAACTTTAATTAAAAAAACGAGGTGTTAATTTTAAAATTCGGTACAGTTTAGGGCATTAAATTTAATGGGGTAAAGCAGGGCCGGCTCAGACAGTCCCCTTGTTAGACAGAAAAATATGTTTGGTTTTTGATTTCTTATTGTCATGTTATAATATATGCTTTTGTTAAATACATCTTCTATACAGCCCATGTCTTTAATTAATCCACTCAACTTCTAATGTGGCATTGAACAATTCATGAATTTTTTTCTTGTATGGACTTATGCCTGTAGAAGTTTTGCAATAATAAACGATAATGTTGACTGTGTCCAACCAAAATTATCAATCTGTCATTTTCGTCTCCGAAACACTGGATTACGAACACGTGGTTATCTAGGGATATTTTGTTTGATTTATTAGGTGTATTTTTTTTAAATAATTAGACAATCCTTCTACCTTTTATTGATATCTTATCTTTGTTTTCTGCTTTTATCGAGACTTTGGCTGCATTCTACATACTGCATGTTTTTCGTTACTTTATTTTTGGTTTCCATACCTTCTTTAATAGTTTTTTTCTTTGTAGTGGACTTTATTTGTTCACAGAACATAATAATTCGTTTTGACAACTCATTTTAAGATTTTAAATAACACTGCATAAAGAAATGTCACTGCAACTGTCAAAAGCGAAAAGCGTTACCATAGAAACCAACTATCAACGACTCGCAATGTTATCGCGTTTACATCTTTGTTTTTGCATGTTGGTACCTATCGCTATTTATGCATTAAGTATAAAAGCAACCCCCCTCACCCCTTTCCCCGCAACGTACTGCCCGAACCTCCTTAATAGTACCTACATTAACGAATATGTCATAAAATGAGTTGACTACCAACTGCAGAAAAAAAATTACGGTACTATGCTCCAACTTTGAATAAATAACACTAGTTTACAGCCATTTTGCCCACCATGTCTCACTATGACTTTCTTGTGTTTTGGCTCACTAAACTCGAAAATCACACTTTTTCACAAATTTTTTTCATGGAAGCGTTTTCGAGATATGAATTATCAATTGTTTTTTTTTACTTTTCTGAGGTGTTTTGACGTTTTAGAGTATACTTCGAGTTCTAATTAATCGATTTGACCAAACAAGCACTTAAACCAAAGGTAATTGAGCCCTCTACAACTTTATTTTGAATAGTTTTGGTATCGGCTCAGTAGTTCGATACTGGCAATTTTATTAAGTTGAAAAAGTCCTTTTTTTACAAAAATCGAGGTTGAAAATTTACATATCTTTCTGGGAAAGATAGAAAAGATAGAAAGAAAAAAAATAAGCTGCTATCGATAAAAATCCATAGATAAATGGCGAAGTTATGAATTTTTCAGTGTAAGAGCAAAATTCAGTTTTTCGAGAATTTTTACGTTTTTTCTTAATTTTATTGAATTATATAAAATTTTATATTGAACATTGATTTTTATTTTAAACATTAAATATTGAAATTAAATTATATATTGAATATTGAACAATAAATATTGAACATTGAAGATATTGAAAGTTTTATTTTGGTTTAAGAAGCATAGGTTTAAAAAAATTCTGGCTCCTTCTTTGTTTTTTGTTGCTTTCGTATTCCGTTTCTCGTACAAGGGACCAAATGTAATCACCCATCATGGCTTCATCCCAGAAGCCGTGATACCGCCGCTCCATAGCCTTCATTTGCTGGTGAAAACGTTCTCCGTGCTCATCACTTACGTCACCCAGATTGTCCGCGTTTTTTACCCACTCGAACTCTCTACTTCTTTTACTCATTTTACA